TTAAACTAAGGTAATTACTGTCAGGTGCCAGTAAGTTCTAAAGTGAAAGAAGATTAGAAAATAATTAAATTCCTGTGTACCAAGTTCTCAATTTTAAATCTGACTTCAGCACAGAAATACTGCTTGATTATTAATCATTTGACTTCTCTCATTACCAGACTACACCTATAGCTCTCTTATTCAAAATCTCCTAATTTATTCATGCCAGAATGTATCTGCTATTTTTTTAAATTGTGATTATATTTGATTATATATTTGTAAATGAACATACAGGTGAAAAAAATGAATTGTGAAAGAGCATTTTAAGAATGCATAGAAACATAAAAATTTTGCCTTGGTTTCAAACACATAGTCCTATACATTCTGAGCTTGTACAGTTTACTTTTCCTGTGGAAATATTGACCTACTTAACCTTAATAACCAAAGAAGTTTGAATATTTCTTTTATATGGCTATATATAAATAATGTGATTATATGATTATATTTTGGTTTCCACAGTAGCTATAGTAAAGTCTTGTGCTAGTGCAATAAGATAAGAAAAGCAAAATAAGATATAAATATTGGGGAAAATGGGCTAGATTATCATTATTTGAATATGATATGATTGCAAACATAGAAAATCCAAGGGAATAAGCTAGGAAATTTATAAGAGCTATTAGAATCAAGAATTACTAGGTAGTAACCGTACAGTTATATAGGCTGGAACCAGTTGAAAAATATAATGTAAAAGGCAAGTCAGTTCACAATAGTATTCAAATTACAAAATACTTAGGAATAAACGTTTCAAGGATTTAAAATATATAAGTGTATATAACTTTTTTGAAGAAAACTAAAACATTTGTGGATAAATTAAGACATACGTACGATGTTTCCAAATGAGTGACTCAGTATTATAAAGCTGCTGACAGTCTTCCCAAACATTATTTTAATTCCAGTAAGAATATCAATGTGAGCTTTTTAAAATTTGGTAAATTTGCAATAAAAGTATATCTGCAATAAAAATAATAATCAACATTTATGGAGTGCTTATTAAGAGTCAGATTGAGAGAACATATTTGTACCTCTTAACACAGAAAGGGCTAATATCCAAAAATTCACAATATCCAAAGACTTCCTATAAAGGTCTGAAAAAAAAACAATAATAAATTAGGCAAAAGAATTAGAAAACTCCCTGAATGAAAGGACAAATGGCATATAAACATGAAAAAAATATTCAACCTTAGTAGTCAGAAAAGAAA